TTACGGAGCATTGGTATACTTTTCGCAAAATGAGAGTTGCCGTCAAAGTTTACCACTTTCTCTTCGGTACTACGTATACAACGCGGTACTTACTGATATAGCGGAGTTTTATCCAATTATAATACTTACCCATGAAAATATCTTTCAACTTTGCAAGTCTCCAGTCTTGTAAAATCTGTTTCATTATAGTAGATACAAAATAATCGGAAAGAAATTGCACTGCCTACAGACACATTTAACACTTCCTCCTCAAAATCGCAACACATCAACGTCACTTTCCAACACATACTGGCGCGTACGCGATGCTCACAACGGAATTCCTCTTTCCCCTCTCACTTAAGAGGGTCACAGAAAGACCAGTGCACCACAGTTTTTTTTAAATTGAAATTCCTGTTATTTTCAGTCGATCATGATATAGTTTTCTATGTAGATTCACAAAACTCTTGTTATAAACGAATTGAGTTATTTGAAGGGATACAGTATTAAATTCAAACAAATACTATGTGTTCAGATCAAGTTGATATTGCTCTCCATTTGAAACAGTTTATTTTTCCCTTCAAATAGGTGGTGGATTTCGAGATGATATTGATTCAAAATAGTTCATTTTCGCAATGATATAATCAAACGAATGATGTGATTTTCTGGTGGAACATGGCGATGTTGGAATAAAGTAATAGTTTTTCCAATAAAGATAAAAATTTCAAAGCAACCCATGATCTTCTTTTAAAGAAATTCGTTTTACTGTGCATTCAGTATTATTTTATCAGTGTTGCAATAATGTTTCATGGAGTTGACTATCTCATTTGATTTCAAACTCAGTACTTGGGGGATCGGCAAATAATGCTAGATATTCTCTGGGCAATAGAGGCAAAATATCATTGATGAAAGTTATGAATGATAGTGGAGCCAGGAGAGTGCCTTGTGGGACACCGTCCAGGGAGAATTTTTCATGCGATCACATCAACCACATCAAAAGCACGCGCAAATCGATGAATATGTGGTGATAGGTTTGACTATATCGTGAGTTTATGGTAAGATGAAAAAAAAAAGTGGAGACAATCCAGTCAGTTCTTTAAAAAATTAAATTTCAACAGGGCTGGTTAGTGAATGGATATGAATTTGATTATTTCGCTACAGGTTACCTCAGGTGTTTGGTTTCACGAAGACATGTTTTTTCTACACAGATCAAAGGCTCAGAAGCTGAGCTAAGGATCTCAGTATTCTCAAATGCTACCATATGGTTGTTTGAAGGTGATTGACAATGTTTCATGATGAATTTCAGTAGTTCGGACTTCCACTGTCTACTATATAAAATTATTTGAAATCCCTGAAACAACTAAAAAAGAATGACCTTCGGGTGATGACCAGTCATCACTCGAAGACGATTGTAGATACTAACAATCGAAACGTCGTGAACTAACGTGACTTCATTTCATTTCAGGTTTATTTTGGTTAATATAATTGTTATTTTCAGCTATTCATTTTCAATTCTTCTTTTTTAGTTGTTTCAGGGATTTCAAATCATTTTATATAGTAGACAATGGAAGTCCGAACTAGTGAAAAAGCTACCATATGGTATTACGTGAACCCGAACGTAGTAACAAGTCAAAATAATACAGAAATTTCAAATCTGACAAATGCTCTTGGACAGTCTAGGATGAGGCTTCGTTATGAATACTGAGTTGGTCTGAGGAAACTCAGGTAGCCTATTGGAAAGATCGACACCTATAAGGTTGATGCTTCCGAAAGTTGAGCGTGCGAGAAAATAACAAGAGTTATATAAATTGAAAGGGGCATATTTCCGAGTGGGACTGATTTTTAGGAAAAATAGATTTTGGATTTCTACGTACCCAACTTCATACAAAAAATGTGGAAAGGAAGGAACAATAAAAAAACAAATTACGATGATATAATGAAGTTTAATTTTTGATCATTTCTCCAATCATCTCTTTTTCAAAAGAGGGTAACAATGCCAAAATAATTGACTATTCAATAGAATTTCAATTATTTCGGCATTGTTACCCTCTTTTGAACAGGAGATAATTGGTGAAATGAGCAAGAATGAAACTTGTATCATTTTAATTTGTCAAAGTTTGATTTGTTTGACTGCTTCCTTCTTTCCTTCGAAACATTCCCACATTTTTCGTATGAAGATGGAGAAGTAGAAAGCTAAAACCTTTTCTTCCCCAAGAATTATATATAGTACATCAGAGTAAGGGGTTGAAGGATATCCATTGAACCGCAAGACAATGCTATATCATGAAGGGCGTTTTATGAAACTCGAAGATTTTTGTGTTTTGGCACAATATAGATTGAACTAAACAAAGGAAAAATTTATGAATAGGTAACCAATAGTCCTTATCAAACCTGTGAACAATTGAATAACATTACAATACAAATACTGTACCCTGAAAGCAAATCAAGTTTCATATCAAAATGATATCATGAGGTAATGCAATCTTGCTTGAGATACAAGAGGTATAACAAAATCAATTATGAAATACTCAAATATTGAAGTTATGAATTACTGACAATCGTGAGAAAAAAACTTCAAGTGAAGGTAAAGTTCCGATACAATTGTTACGAATGCACCAAGGCAATGGAAATACATTTTCCTGCAATGTGGTCCAGTATTGAATAAATTGGATGTTCCTGATAATAATTTCGATGAATAATCACTAATTTATTAAATCCATATCAACTTGAAGTAACGGTAATAGGCTTCTTTGATGAGTTGTAAAAAGATAATGAAAGGAAAAGTGATTCTGAATATCATTAAAGTTCAAAGTAATCTAATCATTTAACTTACATTTCAAATTTGTTCATGAACAGATTAGCCATGAAATTGAAAAATTTGTTTTCCATTGTTTGTGAAAATAGCGAACTGGAACTGTTCCATGCAAATTTGTGTGAGTTGGGTGAACTCTTTGAATTCTCACCACATAGCTCATCAGTCTGAAAGATCCTTCAAATAGGTATTCGATTGTTTCATTGAAAATAACGAAGATTCTTCTACTCAAAAAGAAAAAAAAATTGCTGCTCTCTATATCGCCACCCTGTAAGTGTTTTCAGACACTCTATTATTCAAAAATCCAATGCAGTGAGGAGCAGAAGACCTATAAATCCGTTAACAACTAGATCCAAGTAGATACAATCTACTTTCGCAGTGAATAAAGTAACCAGGAAGCGATGTGTAGAATACCAGAATGAGCGTGAACACTGCCACGACTGGTTGAAAATCGCTTGAACTTTTCTTTTCATTGCCGTGTAAATGGCGTTTCCAGTTGTTATTTCTCGAATCTTCACATTCATTGCACATGTTGCGGTACAGTTATGTCGATTCGACCGCGCTGATACAATAAATAAGATACCAACACGCTTGGTACGATTCACTGAAGATGTGGCTTCGGAGTTGGTATCATACAGGGCGTTATCTGATCGATGTTGATAGAAGGTGACGGTGGGGAATTTTGGTTAAATTTTATGACACATCACATTCAAATAACAAATTCCATAGGTATCTTTCTACATTTAATTGAATAGTACAAAATTCGGGTTATAGTAGGCCGTGGTCGAATGAAACCTGAAGTACCAAAGGTTTCGTCTGCTACTACTGCAAACATCATTAGTGGTATGTGCGTTTACTGAGACTTCGAGATATATCTTTTCTCCTCGCAGTAAACTCACATACCACTGATGATGTCTACCGCAGTAGTAAACGAAACGTTTGCTACTTCAGATTCCATTCGAGCTCGGATTTTTTACTCTTTAATCGTGACAGTACGTGAAAAACGATGTTCGTATATTCATACCCACTTACAACTCTGAAGGTTGACTTTTATATCGAGATAAGAGGAATCCATGTTGAACTTTTTTGACATTTCGATAATATACTACCTACATATTTACATACATCACTTCCTGTTACAAAACAGAGTGTTCCGCCGTGACTATCTGCCTTTTCGAACGCGATAAAGTCAAAAACTATTCAAATGATTTTCACCAGTGAATGGATTGTTTTAAGAGGAAGATTTATTACGTTGTTTCAATAGTTTTGCTCTACTTTGAACTGTAATATCGCAGTGAATACTTATTCAATATAATCTACATAAGCGCCATTTGGATCAGTGCACTCTTATCCGTTGGTACGTTTAACACAAGTCACTTTATTCCGTCAGCATAAAAATTGTGTGCTCTGGATTCGATGGCCGTCTATACCTGGTCCTGATTGACGAAGGTTCTACCGATGGAAAAATTATCGAAGTGCTTGAAAATATAGTTGGCAAGTAGTCTGGGGAGTATGGTGTGTGAGGCAGAACTTCAATGCTCATTTTTTCAATTTTCGGACTGTACCGGCCCCCCGGCTGGTACCGGGGGGCCGGTACAGTTCGGGGGACCATTTCACGGTGTACAATATTGTAGTACATTATTTTGATCTATCTCGTAAGGTTCAGTCAGCGTTTGCAATGTAAACTCGAAAAATATCTTTATTCACATCACATTAGAAAACTTTAATTGTTTCTCTACTATAATATGCATGTTATACACATATAAACCTTCATCTTGAATCACCTATCCATTTAAAAAAAACCGCATCAAAATCCGTTCCGTAGTTTTAAAGATCTGAGCATACATAGGGACAGATAGCGGAAAGCGACTTTATTTTATACTATGTATCGTTGATTGAAAATATGGGTAGATTAAAAAAACTGTCGTGTAATAATGTGATATATTTAATAGTAGAAAATTATAAAGATAGCGATGGAGAAAATTGTCATCATGGTATTATTTTGAACTTCAACATCTTCAACCAACGGGTAGTTCACATTTTTTTCTGAAACCGGGTAAAATACCTAAACTCCTTTTGTGATTGGTACTCGATACTTCCTGTGTCAACAACATATTGTGCATTTTGGAATTTTAACTATATATGTGCAACACATTTTTGTTTTTGCATAGCATCAGAAATAAGTACTTGATTACAATATGTTTTTTTTCAGTTCTAAACGTTGCAGCTGGAAAAGCACCAATGCAGGTTAGTACCGAAGTTGGCGGAATACCCCAGAAAGCTATAGATGGCAGCACAAGCGCTTTTTTCAATAGTGATACATGTACTCTAACGAAAGCGGAAAGAAGTCCATGGTGGTATGTCAACCTGTTGGAGCCTTATATGGTTCAATTAGTTCGTCTGGATTTTGGGAAGCCCTGTTGCGGTAAGTGTGGCTTAATTTAATTTCAAAAATTGTACGTTTTTTTTGTGAACGATATTCAAAGAAGGTGACTCCCATAGATTTTATCAAATAGTTCAGATTTGTTGGGTTTGCTATACTTCAACGAGCTGGAAAACGAACGCTATTTAAAATACATTAAATACATGTATTCGTTGAGAGACATTATTTTTTGTTGAGAAGTTACTTTTCCTTGATGTCTTTTTGGGTTCCTAACTTCCACAATATGAAAAATTTTGATCAGCAGAGAATCTGCTTAGATGTATTGTTAATTGTAATTGTAATTGACACGTTCACCCCTGAAAGTTACTGCCTAATATAAGGTTTATTCTGGTTCTAACATCTGAAACTGTTTGGAAACTGCGCATGACATGATGCGTACAAACAACAGAACGCTTTTGAGGAGACCACTGTGCCACCTGTCGTATATATGAAGAGATGAAGACATGAAAATACCACTGATCATGTCCATTTTGTTATGTAGCTTATCCTTATAGTCAGTTCAAATGTTATCTACTCTCAATTATCAATAATTGAAACCAAATAATTGAAAATAGCCCAGACAAATTTCCACATGTATGTGCATGAGCAATGGGAACAGTTCTCAACAGTTCAGCCTCGAGAGCAAGAACGATTGGGGATGGTTCGAAACAGTTTGGGATCATTTCGCAGTCGAAACCAGAACAGAGGATTCATCAGTCCGAAAGTATCCTCAATAACCCAGAACGCTCTTTATCAATTGCGCATGATCCTTACGTCCTAGATGAATTTCGTAGAACCAGAACAAACCTATAAACTTTTGATGAGTCCAATTGGTCAGGAACTTGTTCTCACTGCGTAATATATACCGTTGATGAGTCCACTAAGTCAGGAACTCCTTTTATTTATAAACTTCGTCCTTAAATAAACTCAATGAGTAAGAAACTAAAATTTTGAATATTTCGCTGTTTCAATATGGCTGATGTTTCGAAAAAAAATCCTTTTTAGTTCTCTTGACATTCAAAATAAAATTTCGAATACGGCCATTTTCATTTAAAAAAAGGGGGCTTTGAGAGCTGTATCACGGATATTTCTGTTATACTTTCCCTCTGGTGAGACTGGTCGACATTATAAATTAGTAAGACGCGTATTGGAAATAGGGTCTATACAGGGTGTTTCCTAACTACGGTACGAAACTCCAGAGGGTAATTCATTGGGTCGTTTTGAGAAAAATATCCTATGAAGGTATGTCTGGAGTTGTTCGTTTCTGAAATACAGGGCGTTGAAGATTAAAATTCATAAAATAGTATAAATATCATTACACCTATTTGGTTAAAATTCACTACAGTTATTTGAAGTAGTGAGGCGCTTATTGAGCCCGAACTAGTTTGAAATTATTAGGTCCAGTGGAGTCTCAGTGGGCGCCAAAGTCAACAATATTGGGGAAAAAAGTACGTCACTGACTTATTGTTGTAGTTTTTTATTTTTTAGATTATTCAACTAAAATACAACTTTTTCGTCACATGTGTTTTCTTCATATGTAGCTTCGTTTTCGAAAAAAAAATTGAAACCACTTTGCATATCATGAACACCTGCTTTGGAGATCAACTGACAGTGATAAGTCTGAGTTGTCAATTAACAGTGATTCCATCATGAATAATTTTACTGAAGCTGAAAAGGCTGACATGCACTTCATTTATGGATTAGCAGATGAATATGCGGCAGAAGCACGGATAATTTACCAGGACAGATATCTCAAGTAATTTCATGTGCTGAAACATTCAGAACGCTACGTGCAAGATTATATGAAACTGGGAGTTTTAATAAAAATGCTGGTGGTGAAAGACCAGAAACTGTAATAACGCCTGAACTAGAAGAAGCTATACTTGATGTAATAGAAGATGATCCTTCAAATAGCACCAGGAAAATTGCACTGCAGCTTTTCATAGGAACTTCTTTTCTCAAAACGACCTAACGAATCACCCTCTGAAGTATTGTACCGTAGTTAGGAAACACCCTGTATTGTGAGATTTTGTTATTATTATCATGAACAGTCAATAGATAAATGCACTCTAGAGATGAATACAGTCTCACTGCGAAGTGAATTGGAGAAAGAATTTTTAGCTATGGAATGAAACTGCCCATTTATTTCAATATTTGCTCTACTTATTTACAAATATTTGATTAGTCATCTTTATGATATTCAACATATCTCCATATCTCTGCATCTCAAATGATAATGAAATCAATTATTCGGTTATAGATACGGCATTGGAATTTTGTGCCTAGTCATTTCTTTCTGGGTCAACGGAATATAAATTGAAGGTCTTCTCTGGAGGATTCTGACCCTGACCCTGCTAACCTTAACCTAGAAACTTGAATTGAGGCAGTGCGGTGTAATCGTGTCGGATTTAAATTCGATGCAAACGATATATGTTCCAAATCTTGTTTGACGTTGTGAAGCTCCGTTGTATTTCAGATGAGGTATTCGAAAACCAATTTTATCTTTGTCTTTGTCTATTGTCAATAAGATTACATATACATATTCATATTCATATACATGTCTCTATGATAACAAAACCCACAGTCGATGGAAATATCAAAAACGATGCGACTAGAATTGAAGAGAAGAAAATACGAACTGATAGGCCGTGGTCGAATGGAATCTGAAGGACCCAACGTTTCGTCTGCCTCATCAATGGTATGTGCGTTGACTGCGAAAATAAAATCATTTCTCGAAGTGTTAGTAAAGACTGACTTGAGTCAGTCATCGCACATAACACTGATGATGTCTGCCGTAGTAGCAGACGAAACGTTTGGTGCTTCAACCGATTTTTTTTCAACCATTTGGGGCATGCGTTTCTTCCATAAGCGAAAAAGGAGTAGAAAAAAGTTAATGTGGAAATTTCTTCCTTCGATACAAATTGTTTATCGAATAAAAAAATAAATGATACTTTTTTTTGTAGACTACGAAAAACCAATGAGAATTATTCGAATAAATGCTTCAAAAAATTTTAATATGAATATTTAATCAACAAATGTTTTTATACGTATACACTGTTTGGAACTTTTGGTGTAATAGAAAATATTACTGAAGTTTCACCCCAACACCAAACTGTTATTTTTAACACCTCGACACGTGTTTCAATCACCAAGTGATGATCAGCAAGAGGTAGATTGAATTAACTAAACATATAATATTGTTCTTATTTATACCATAGATACCTCTGCTAGGTGCCTGCGCCTTAATTGTCTTAAATTGATTTTACAACTTAGCCTTATTTAATAGTTAGGTGAATCTGATAAATAAGATATTATTTCAATAAGCTGTATACTTAGTATACTATATGCCCAGCTATTATTGACTATTTCTCCTCTGGAGGGTTATTGTAGATGATATGAGGAAAGAAGTTTTAATTAAGAATGAACAAAATCTCGACTTTTAGAAAAGACAAAAACCAAGATAAATATATTTCGGTGCCATACCACCAATACACGAAGAACTTTGGAAAGCTTTTCAAGTAACTATGTATGTAGGTGGTATTCAAAACAAGTCATACACTGCATAGTCTTTCAGGAAATCCAAAGGACAAAGTCGAGAATTAGGAAAAGTCTTGAATTCATGAAATTAAATGTAAGGACTGCGATGCAAAATATTATGGACAGACTGAAAGATCAATTAAAATAAGATATAAGGAACACTTAGTACATCTGAAATATGGAAGACCAGAAACATCAGTAGTCCCTCATCATATTTTGCAACAAAACCATTCCTTTCAGTTCAGTTCATTAAGATTAGTTAGACAAGCTAACAACAACAGGCATCTAGATGCCTATGTGAGTGTAGAAATAATGTGAAATCAATTAAAGACAATTTAAACGCAGGTACCTAGCAAATGTATCTATGATATAAATAAGGACAATATTGTATGTAGAATTAGTTCAATCTTCCTCTTGGGGATGATCACTTGGTGATCGAAACACGTGTCGAGGTGTTAAAAATGACAGTTTGGTGTTGGGATAAAAATCCAGTAATATTCAAATGTTTTCATGCAATTGATTTTTTTTCCTTTGTTGCACTGCCTGCAGCTCTTCATTATGCAGTCCTGTTTTATTTTATGTTCTCTAAATGGTCATATAGACTTAGTATATGCATTTATATATTTTTTTCTTACATATACATGCTTCATCAATAGGATCCATTCTTCCGACAATAAAGCTCATTTAGTATTATTATCATTTTAGTGTACAATGAGTAGCTCTACAATGTTGATGGAGTTCTGTTTTTTTTCAGACGATCCCTTTAATGAGTTTTTGGTTTGTTTTTCCAGGTTTATTTGCCTACAACAAAATAGTTAAATAACAAGATGAACTGAACTTTCTAAAAACACTAACAGGTTTGCTTTACGAAATGTCAAGTGTTGTCTTACGTTTTTCGAATTGAATGAAATGTGTTAAATCATATTTCTCTAACTTCCTAAATAAATGAATTTCGATCACAGGAGCAAAGAAACCAGCAACAATCGTAGTTCGAGTTGGAAACAACAGACCTGATCTGGGAACTAATCCCATTTGCAATCGATTCACGGGCTTTCTGGAAGAAGGCCAACCCTTGTTTCTACCTTGTAACCCGCCAATGCCAGGAGCTTTCGTGAGCGTTCATCTGGAAGCTCCAGCACCTAGCCAGCTCTCAATATGTGAAGCTTTCGTTTATACCGATCAGGCACTTCCGATCGAGAGATGTCCACAGTTCAGAGATCAACCGCCAGGTGAGTGTAGTTTTTGTTTGTTTTTTTTTTCATAATTTCATAGTTTTCTAATATTCATCTATTGTTACATATGAAAATTAGCCCGTAAAATAGGTACTATCCAAACGTAAATGTACCAAATGAATATTGTGAGTCTTGCACGAAGTTTACTGCTCTTATTCATATTCAAATTCAAATAACACTTCATTAGAAGATTTCCACTGGACAGCTTACGTGTTTTGCTATACAATAGCTTCTTCAAGTGTTTCAATACCAACCACATTTTGTTTAATTTTTGCTTTAAAAACAACATTTTGTAATCTACTATCTAGTTAAAGAGTAATAATTTCACCGGAGTTAAGGTAAGAACTAATTTTAATATCTCATTAAATGAAGATGTGATTAACTAACTACCAATTTCCACATGAGAAAACAGATTCAGAACAAAATAGGTATTCAATTCTTTGGAGTCATTCAGAAAATTTTCAGAATCCATAAATCTATCAATTTCTAAGCACTCCAAAAGATTGCGTTCCAAAAATTCCTCTTCCAAATGTAATACTTCATAATCTTAGTTGAATTCATATTTCTCTGTAAAAAGATGGGTTGCAAATGTAGAATTGGTCTTCATATTCAAGAAATGACCCATATGTTCTTTCATTTTTTATTGAAAGATTCTCACTGTTTGGCCAATATAACGTTTTGGACAAGAATCACAAGTCAACATACACAATAAGTTTTGTATTAGTATTTGTATTAGTTTGAAAATGTCCATATAGGACGAAACTGCAGTAAAGTTAGTTATAATTAAAAGTGGTAAAAAACATAGAAATTTTCATTTCTCTTTTCATTATGATCTCCTACCACGTAATAACGGTTACATCCATCAATTTATTAAATATCGATACTCAGCTTGCTTAAGTGATTGATATTTTCCAATATGGAGGCAAAATATACAGATACGATAAGTTACTGACTAATTGAACTTTTCAGTAGTTCACACTTCACAGCAACTTTTCGGGGTGAACTTTTCAGTTTGCCTCTTACTACACAGCAGATTCTCTATTAATTTGGCTTTCATTTTTTTAGATCGTGGAAAATTATAAACTCAAAAAATAGTACAATATATTGAGTCCTCCACAAACAAATGTCTTTTGAAAAAAATTCAATATTTAGAATAATTTTATTAGGAAAAAAGGTTTTTTTTGAAAAGCTTTCGACTCGATTTGTTGCTGTATGTGATTCACTGGATGTATCATGATGGATTCTAATTTTGGAATATTTTTTCAAAATCAGTTTAAATAGCTTTAATGAACGACCACGTGACCACAATCGTCTTCGGGTGATAACTGGACTTATTCCTCCGAGATCTGACTAAAGGTCATTCGAGTACTTCCACCTATCCCCTCTTCCCTCTTTCTGCTTCATTGGTTTTGGCGGGAGACGACCGTTTGGCAAGAGTTGGTAGTTTTTCGCTTGAATAGAGGTTTCCATATGTTACGTATCTCTACGCTAGCTTGACTAAATGCGTCGTTGGACGAACATATACGCGGCTTCTTTGAATTTTCGCCTGAACCAGTGTTCCTCTTTGGAAATGATTTCAGCTTGAGCCCACTTGATGTTTCTCCTCGCTGTGTGTGTTTCTTGTGCTCAGCAATGCGAACTTTTAATGGCATCTTAGTTTCACTGATGTATGATTCTCCGCACTCGCAGGGTATCCGGTAAATGCAATTCTTGGAATCACAGTCCGCGTTTGGTGGCCTGGTTTTCGTGAGGCTGCTACGGATAGTGTTCTCAGATCTGAAGCAGGTCCTGATGTTATAATTGGACCCAATCCGTCTTATCCTTTCCGATAATCCTCTGATGTAGGGAAGTACAAGTACTGATTGTGGCGGCTTCTCTTCCTTGTGGAATTCTTGCTGTCTTCTAGCTAAGGCCTGTTCTACCATCACTTTGATGATTCCTCTCTTAGTCGATTGATGGTGGTTGGATTTCTGGTTCAGATAATGTCCTGTGTGAGTGGGTTTTCGATATATAGATGTTTCCCATTTAGTGTTGGTCCTCTTCATTTCTACATTGTTAAAGTGATGGAAGGTCTTACGTTGTTGATGTGATTCAGGAAAGTGTCTAGTTCGGCATTCCCATGGTTCCATACTATGAAGGTGTAGTCTACGTATCTCAACCAGACTCGAGGCTTCTTGTGGGCTTCTTCAATGACCAAAGTTTCGAACCACTCCATATATAAATTGGCTATAACAGGTGAAAGTGGCGATCCCATTGGCAGTCCCTCATCTTGCGTAAATAATTCGTCCTTCAATTGGAAGTAGCAGCATCCTAGTAATTCCATGATTACTTGTATCGGTAAGTTTGTTCTATCTTTCAGGTCCCTATCTTCGGATAGCTTCTTCTTTATGATTTGAAATGTTCCTTCGACAGGAACGTTGGTGTAGAGGTTTTCCACGTCGAAACTGATCAGTGGATCCTGCTCTTTGACTTCGATTTCCCCTAGTAGTTCAACGAAATGCCCTGAATTTTTCACAAAAGATGATGTTTTACCTTGCAGTGGTTAAATTATTGGTAGTAAAAATCTGGCCAAATTCTGAGTGGCTGAAGCTCTGGAGCTAATGATCGGTCTGAGCGGAACATTCTTTTTTGGGTAGTCCATACAAGTGAGAGGGCTTACTGTGGTGCGGTGTTGGCAATGATCTCTCTCTTTCCGTAAAATAGACTTGGTATGTTTTCAAAGTCTGGTACAACTTCCTTTCAATTGATGTAGTAGGGTCTCTTACGATCTTCGTCTATTTTCCTTTCTGAAGCACCTCTTCGATCTTCTGTTAGTAGAGATCAGTATTCATCACAATGTAGAAGGAAAGCCACAACGAATTGCCTTTCTTAAACGTGGTGAAGAGGACCGACACTAAATGGGAAACATCTGTATATCGAAAACCCACTCACACAGGACAGTATCTGAACCAGAAATCCAACCACCATCAATCGACTAAGAGAGGAATTATCATCAAAACTCTACTGGATCGTGCTTTTGGGCTCTGTAATACAAAGGAAGGTCTCGAAAAGAAACTAGGCATCATCAAAAATGACCTTCAATGGAATGGATACTCCAAAGTGATGGTAGAACAGGCCTTAGCTAGAAGTCAGCAAGAACTCCACAAGGAAGAGAAGCCGCCACAACCAGTACTTGTACTTCCCTACACCAGAGGATTATCGGAAAGGATAAAAATGATTGGGTCCAATTATAACATCAGGACCTGCTTCAGATCTGGGAACACTATCCGTAGCAGCCTCACGAAAACCAGGCCACCAAACGCGGACTGCGATTCCAAGAATTGCATTTACCGGATACCCTGCGAGTGCGGAGAATCATACATCAGTGAAACTAAGATGCCATTGAAAGTTCGCATTGCTGAGCACAAGAAGCACACACAGCGAAGAGAAACCAGCAAATTCGGAATAGCAGAGCATGTTTGGACTCATCAACACAACATCAAGTGGGCTCAAGCTGAAATCATCCACAAAGAGGAACACTGGTTTAGGCGAAAATTCAAAGAAGCCACATATATGTTGTCCAACAACGCATTTAGTCAAGCTAGCGTAGAGATACGTAACATATGGAAACCTCAATTCAAGCGAAAAGCGACGCCAAACGGTCATCTCCCGCCAAATCCAATGAAGCGGAAAGAGGGAAGAAAGGATAGGTGCAAGTACTCGAATGACCTATAGTCAGATTTCGGAGGAATAAGTCCAGTTATTTCCCGAAGACGATTGTGGATACTAACAGTCGAAACGTTGTGACATAACTTGGTTTGAAATCTTTTAATTTTTATTATTTTTTCATTTTTTGTTAATAATATTTTTAATTTTTCAATTTTTTCAGCTTTTATTAATATTTCAATTTTTACTTGTTTGGGTGTTGTTGTATGTTACTTCTTTATAATTTCAGTTTTTTGTTTAATAAAATTGTTATTTTCGATAAATCATTTTGATTTTTTCAGGGGTATTATTAGACAATGGAAGTCCGAACTGATTAAATACACCACGAAACCACCTTCAAATAATAAAAAATAGGCTCGAAAAGAGCAAACGAGTGTTCCCCACCAAAAATTCATAATTTTGTAAGGAAATTGGTATTTTTAAAATTTATCACTCTATAACAATATTGAGATTAGTTGGAAACTGAAATAGTTTTTGTCAAACCATCTTCGTGGATACTTGGTAGAACACGGGGTGTGTCTATACCAGAGTTCTAGGTTAAAATTCCACTGACGGATGTCAGATTCCTTTCCAGCTACTCTACCTACCTAACCTAACAGTACTCACTTCGGACACCCGAATTGTTACTAATGGCGTACCTCAGGATTCGTTACTTGCTCAAAAACGCTCCTACACATTAACCTGTTATAATTTGTTCGTTTGTCCGTTCCCGGTTTGAACGGCACGTGGAATTTTCAGAATATATTCACTATCACATGTCCTGTATTCCTTAACCTCTTTCAGAAAACAGGTATGATATGAATTTCACTAGTTCGGACTTTCATTGTCTAATAATTCTAATATGATTCGAAATCTATGAAAGAACAAATAAAATTAGGATAAATAGCTGAAATATCAATTATATATAAGCAATTAAAAGTGAAATTTTTGGAAGACTCCCTCATAATTCTTTTTTTATTTTTTTTTTACTCTGTGGTCATTTTCATCTTTTATCTTGACCATTTTATTTTATTTGTGGAAGTCCGAACCAGTGAAATTCACCATGAAACATTGTCAACCACTTTCAGAAAAGTATGAAATGATTTTTGGAATGATACCGTAGTCCTAGGATTATCATTTCTACACTAATTGAAAGTTCTGGATCGTCACTTTAGATTCGGTGAAATTAACAACCGCTATAAGTTCCTCGTGATTGGATAGGGTAACATTTCTCAGAACTAATTGGTAACTTCGAAACCAAGTTTTGATCAGTAACATGAAGTGGAATATTCTACTTCGTTAATATGAGACTT